GTTTCAGATCAGGGACTCTTCTTCTGCTCCTCTGATGCTGCCTGGCCTGCTGTGTTCCTCCAGCTCCATACTGTGTTCCTCCAGCTCCACACTGTGTTATCTCTACCATTAACTCTATCTATACCCCTCATTATTTTATAAACTTTTATCACGTCGCCTTTTAATCTCTTACGTTCCAGTCTTTATTTATAACTCAAATATTCCAATCCTGGCAGCATCCTGGTAAATCTCTTCTGAACCCTCTCCAGCTTAATAATATCCTTTTTATAACTGGGCGACTGGAACTAGACACAGTATTCCTGAAGAGGTCTCACCAATGTCCTGTACAACCTCAACAGGACTTCCCAACTTCTATACGCAAAGGATTGAGCAATGAAGGCAAGCATACGAAATGCCTTTTTAACCACCTTGTTTATATGTGATATAAACTTTAAAGAATTATGTACCTCTACCCCATAGGTCCCTCTGTTCTACAACACTATCCAAGGCCCTACCATTAACTGCATAAGCCCTATCCTTGTTTGTTGTACCAAAATGCAATACCTCGCATTTATCCAGATTGAACTCCATCTGCCATTTTTCAGCCCATTGACCCATTTGATCAAGATCCCTTTGTAATCTTAGGAAACCTTCTTCACTGTCTACAATGCCACCAATTTTGGTGTCATCCGCAAACTTACTTTCCATGCCTTCTATATTCACATCCAAGTCATTTACATAAATGACAAACAAAAGAGGACCCAGAACCAATCCCTGTGGAACACCGCTGGTCACAGGTCTCCAGTCCGAAAAGCAACCCTCCACCATTAGTCTTGGTCTCCTGATATTAAGCCAATTATGTATCCAATTGGCAAGCTCACCCTGAATCTCTTGTGACCTAACTTTACTAATTAGTCTACCATGTGGAATCTTGTCAACAGCTTGATTAAAGTCCAAGTAAACAATGTCTACTGCTCTGCCCTCATTAACCTTTTTGGTAACTCCCTCAAAAAACTCAGTCAAGTTTGTTCGACATGATTTTCCTCACACAAAACCGTGTTGACTATCCCTAATCAATTTTTGCCTTTCTAAATGTCCATAAATCCTAGTAGCTCCTGAATCCATGCACCTTAAACTAGAGATCTCACAGTCTTTTGCAAGGAATTCATTACCTCAGTGATTTAAAGGTTCCATGGATCCCATTTAACTGAGTATTCCAGTCTTGACACTTGTCCCTCAATTGTTTCCCTCAATCCCTCCTGCAGCTTTCTTTTACCATTTTTAGTCCCTCTTTCAGCCTCCTCCACCCATTTCCCCTGTCACATATTATAGTCTTTACCTCTCTCCATAGCCCTCATGTGGCCCCCTTCATATTTCCTGCAGCCTCCTTCTCCCTATGCCCCAAAACCTCCTTCTCCCTTCTCCTCAAACCCTCCAACAGCCTCCTCCACCTCCTCCTCCCTCTACCTCCACCCCCTCCTGGTTTACACCCTCTCCGTAGATCTAACTTTGGATCTGGGAAAAAAAATCTTTCTTCCCAGTCATAGGTGGCTTTTTACCACCTGCTCCCCACTAGCTTTCTGGAAATGCCGAGAAAAAGGATCCCTCAACTCACTCAATGGCAATATGAACTTTTTCCAACCGCTCAATGCTTACCCAATCACAGGCCAGTTCTCTCATGTGCTTGTTGCTGATAGGTTTCATAATGAGCCTATCAGCAGTAAGCAAAGGAGACAGCCAGCCTGTGATTGGAGGAATGATTCCTCATCATTTCCTCCCATGGCAGAGACATTTCTCTGATTGGTTAACTTTGTGAGTGGATTTTCACAGCCAATTTGGTGACACTTGGGAGATGAAATTACCACCTACCCCTCTGTACTTTGATTATTGGACCCAGTGAACAATGAAGAGACAAAAGAAGATTATTTCCTGTAGCATAAGTAACAGGTCAGTGTCCAGAGGACAACAGAGGCAGAAGTACACATAAGGTCTATTGCAACAGATGAACTCCAATAAACTCAAATATATACGGAAAGAGTTATTGATGGTGGTCAGTTTGGAAAAAAATTCCAACTATTTTATGAACAGGTGAAATGGCAGATGTTGGCTTCAAAAGATAGTCTCCTATTCAATGGCTGTGTTAGAATCCCAGTGAACATGCTTGTGAGCGAAATATGAATGGGTAAGATTAGATCGAAGAGATTGCAAGAGCTGCAGATGTTGGAGTCAGAGATAATACAGTGTGGAGCTGGATGAACACAACAGGCCAGACAGCATCAGAGGAGCAGGAAAGCTGATGTTTTAGGTCAGGAGTCTTCTTCAGAAAAAGAAGGGTCCCAACCTGAGACATCAACTTTCCTGCTCCTCTGATGCTGCCTGGCCTGCTGTGTTCATCCAGCTACACACAAGATTAGATGGAACGTGTTTGACTGTATCAAACCGTTTGGCCAATGCTCAGACTTCTTCATCACTGCACCCAGGCTGAATTGAAGCAGTTCATCAACTTCGCTAACAACTTCCATCCCGCTCTCAAATTCACTTGTTCTCTCTTAGACACCTCCCTCCCCTTTCTTGACCCGTCCATTTCCAGTGACAGCTTACAGAATGACATTTACTGTAAACCCACAGACTCCCATAGCTACCTAGCCTAAACCTCCTCCCACCCTGTATCCTGCAAAAACTCCGCCTTGTTTTCCCAATTCTTCCGTCTCTGTCACATCTGCTCTGACAAGGAGATCCTGGATGTCCCTCTGTTTCAAACAACGTTCTTTTCCCCCACCCTCTGTCATTCAGACAGCCCTCCACGCGCCTCCTCCACTTCCTGCTCCTCAGCTGTAACCCACCCCCCTCCAAACATAATAAAGATAGCGTTCCCCTTGTCCTCACTTTCCACACCACCAGCCTCCATATCCAACATATCATCCGCAAATACTTCCGCCAACTCCAATTAGACCCCACCACCCAGAACATCTTCCACTCCCCACCCCCTCTGCCTTCCGCAAGGATTATTCCCTTTGCCACTCCCCACCAACCACTCCAACCACCCCCCACCAACACGTTCCCCTGTAACTGTAAAAGATGCCTGACCTGCCCATACACCACCTCCCTCACCTCCATCCAGGGCGCTAAACAGCCCTTCCACATGAGACAGCGCTTCATCTGCATCGTCTCCAACCTAGTCTATTGCATCCAGTGCTCCCAATATGGTCTTCCCTACATTGGTTAGACCAAATGTAGACTAGGCAACCGTTTCACCGAGCATCTTCATCTGGCCTGAAACGACCAGCCTAACTTCCCGGTCACTGCCCATTACAACTCACCACAACCCCCCAACTCTCCCTCCTACATGTCCATCCTGAGCCTCCTCCAGTGTCACAGCGATTCAGAATGCATATTTGAGGAACAACACCATATCTTCTGCCTGGGCACCCTACAACCTGGAGGACTTCACGTTGAGTTCTCTAACTTCAGATTACCTTCCCACCCATTCCTTGGTGCCCTTTCCAGCCCCACCTCCTCCCATCCATTCTAGCTATCAACTAGTTTCATCCCACCCATCGACCAACCAGGCCTTACCTACTACCGGTGTCCACGTATCAACCCTATCCCGCTACCCTCCCCCCTCTTTACCTGCAGCTCCCCCGACACCCACATCCAGTCCTGAAGAAGGGTAATACCTGAAAAGTTGACTTCTCCTCATCCACATGCTGCCTGTCTTGCTGGGTTTTTCCAGCCTCCTGTTTCTCCATCACTCGCCCTGTGAATGTTTTGTTCCACCAGCAGGATAAAGGTGAGGAGGCTAAATTGTGATAAACCTTAATTATTTTCCTTTGAAGCTCTGGATACATCATCCAGATTGTGGGAAGCGACTGGACACCTTGAACCAGGAAAGAAGCTGCCTTCAGCACATGGTGATGCGGATGAGGACCTCAGGCTGAAGTTTGATCCCTTCAGGTTGAGAAAGTAGTTTCATTCATTTATCTACTAATAGTAGTCAAGTGAATATTACAGATGGATTTAAGAGAAAACTAGAAAGGCAGATAAGGGAGAAGGGAATAGAAAGATGATTTTGATCAGGTGAGTAAAAGGGTGGAAAGAGGGACATTTGTGATCCCTACCTTATCACTGTAAACCCACATTTACCATGGCTAATCCACCTAACCTGCACACTTTTGGACTGTGTGAGGAAACCAGAGCACCCAGGGGAAACGGGGAGAATGTGCAAACTCCACACAGACAGTCACCCGAGGGTGGAAGCAAACCCAGGTCTCTGGCCCTGTGAGGCAGCAGTGCTAGCCATTCTGTCACTGGAATCATTGCCTGGCGACTTGAACTCAGGACCCTCAGATTAAAAGTCTGATGCTCTGCTGACTGAGCAATCCAGGCTCACTAAATATATCCCCATTCCTTCCCTATTATTGAGTCGTAGTCCTCGAGCTCACTATCAGACAGCACTGTTGATGTCCCAGCACCAATCAGAGTGCAGCAGTTCGAGGAGATGGTTCAGTACCATCTTCTGGGGGGATCTCAGGGATTGGCGACAAATGGCTGATCTTGGCAGGAACACATATATCCTGTGATTTAACTTTTAAACATTGTCAAGGATACACAAGCAGGAAGCCAGGTTTGTTCTAGGAACGCTGGAGAACACTTCAGTGGATAGAATTGAAAAACCAGAGTTGCTGATCATAAGGTAGACACCAGGTAATTTCCACTGCAAGATGCTTGATTCACCATTTCATTAGTTCACTCTTTATTGAAGAGTCAATCTGGTCTTCGCTTGTCACTGATCCAGCTGAGATTGAACCCTTACGAAACATAGCTCGGCAAGTTGGAACCTCTGCTCAAACATACTTTGGCCCAACCCTCTTACTAACCCATTCACTAACCCATTCTGTCACTGGATGGTCTTCATCCTTTCACGCAAGCACTATCATCAAACACATTCTTTTGAACTAAAAAACGAAAAGCAAGACTCTCACTTGGCTACATCAGGAGACTGTTTGAAAGCCAATAAAATGTGCTCAATGTTTATGAAAACATCCCAGCAGGGAAAGCAGGTGATCAGGAGAATGAGGATCCCTCGTTGGAGAATCACTCCGATTCGCTTCAGGTTCTTACTGCCATACGTCTGAAAATCAGAACAAAACATTAAAAAGAATTGGATCAATATTAACTCTTATATCTGATTGTGATAGACACCACTTTTCCTACAAAAACTAACAGCAGTATATGCAACAGTAGAAATATGGAACATTATAATAGTTACATTGTTGAACTAAAGTTAACCTTTTATCGGGGCTTGTGGATGTCACTGGCTAGGCTAGCATTTATTGCCCATCCCTAATTGCCCTTGAACTAAATGGCATGCTAGGAGACTTCAGAGGACATATTATTGTGGGCCTGGAGTCATATGTAGACCACATCAGGTAAGGATGGCAGATCTCCTTCCCTAAGGGGCATTCGTGAACTGGATGGGTTTTTACAACAATGACGATTAGCTTTAAATTCCAGATTTTTATTGAATTCAAATGTTTATCATTTGCCTCACCAACCCTCTCCCTTCCTTTAGGCATCTGACTTACAAATGTCCTCCTTGACAAAGTGTTTTGTGAGTTATCCTGATATGTCATTATTTTTGACTGAATCTCTTTTAAGTAGTTAATGCTCCTATGGAATGCCATGAGACCTTTTTTACATTAAAGGTGCAAAATAAATGCAAGTTGTTGTTGGTGTTGACCCGATTCTGTGAGCTTCACCAGCCAGCGAGGGCATTACGCAAAGTGACAAGTAACCCGTGTGAGCCAAGTGACTGCCAGAGGGTGATCTGCCCATGAAGAGCATTAAGATGGAGCCCAATGTGACCCTCACCCAATGCTCACACCCATGGGACTTCCAGGATGGGTCATTGACAATGGTGATGAGCTGGAACCCCGAGCTGATGTTCCTGTTCTTTAGCAAGAAAACCAGAAATTGCTGGAAAAGCTCAGCAAGTCTGGCAGCATCTGTGGAGAGAAATCAGAGTTAACGTTTCAGGTCCATGACTCTTCCTCAGAACACCTCTGAACAAAGAGTCGCTGCATTGATTCTGAATCTTGTTAGCTATTGGGTTGAAATGGGCTGCAGTTCTGACAAGTAGATCATTGTGTAACCCGTACCGAGCAGATACCAAGATATAATGGGAAATTCACTGGAATACGCTGCTGTAGTCCAACTCGCTCATTAGAAAGAAAACTGGTAGCAGTTTGACCTCAGGTGAAGGGTGAATTCTGAAGATGTGACACTGAATCCAAACCATTAACTCTGACAGCGCTCAATATTAGAGACTAACCATCCAGGCTAAACCAACCCCCAGCTAATAGCAGCATGTATTGGTCAGTCAGCCTTGTAAACCTGGGACTGCAGCAGGTCAAGAAGCAGCTCAGAATCACCTTGTTATGGACAATTAAGGATGGGCAATAAATGTTGGGCTGAGTCGCAACATCCACATCTGGGAATAAATGAATAATAAAAAATTGACTTGTTCAGAACTTCAAACATTTCCCTTTGTTAATTCCCCAGCCTCATTGTGCCTTTAAAGACTGTTACACATAGAAATTAGTGTGATCTCTGCACTGACACAAGCTATACAGTATACAATGTGCAGAAGTGAATTTCATGGCAGGTTATGGTTAATAAGCTACAATTACAGTTCTCATGCATACTCAATGATATCCGTTACAATCACCCTCTTTCTCCAGCCCCAACTCTCCACCCTGTTGCAATTTACCTTCTCCTTGATCCTGAATGTAAAGATCAGCAGGTTCCTGTCTCCGTCCAGTTCGATATATTTCGGCGCAGTAATTGTAGATGGCTGGGGCTCTCCAAAGTTACAATCGCAAGAGCAGACGTATTGCTGTTTGTGGACACACTCGGGGAGTAGCTGTAGTGGAAAGTGATCATTCATGATCCAGAACTACTTGATTCCCATCAACTGGCTGCTTTAAGATATAACAGATTCTCCAGGTTAAAGGTAAGGGCAGCGGACCCAGCACCGATCCTTGTGGTCTGCAATCTGAAAAGCAACCATCCACCACCACCCTCTATCTCCTACGGTCGAGCCAATTTTGTATCAAATTGGCAAGCTCCCCTGGATCCCATGTGATTTAACCTTGGTAACCAGCCTACCATGCAGAACCTTGTCTAATGCTTTGCTGAAGTCCATATAGGCAACATCCACTGCTCTGCCTTCATCAATCTTTTTTGTCTCAATCAAGTTAGTGAGACATGATTTCCCATGCACAAAGCCATGTTGACTATCCCTAATCAGCCCTTGCCTTTCCAAATGCATGTGAATCCTATCCCTCAGGATCCCCTCTGACAATTAACCCACCATTGATGTAAAGTTTACTGGTCTGCGGTTACCTGGCTTTTCCTTACATAAATAATGGCACCACGCTAGCCAACCTCCATTCTTCTGGTGTTTGAAATTGTGCCAGATGCTCTTTTACTTCCAATTGAGAGGACAATTGAGTTGGTGTCTCACCCAAACGATAGCACCTTTAACAGCGTAGCATTGCTGCTGTGCTGTGCACAAGATTCAGCTTCAGGGGGTTTGTACCAGGGCTCTCAACTGGGACTTGAATCGTCAGTCTTCTGACTTAGTGAACCATCCACTGAGCCATAGCTGACACTCGGAAGAACCAGCAGACTGAATGTTGAAGAACTTAGAAGTATTAGGACAGTCAGGAGAAACTTGGACATTTCAATCTTTCGGAGAAGGCAGTTAAGTGGGATTTACCTTCAAGGAGGAAAATGGTCCACAGAAGATAAATCATCAACAGTTTAAGCACGAGTGTTTTGATTTTGATTTTATTGTCATGTGTATTTCATAGTAAGAATACAATAAAATACAGCAAAAAGCTTTTATTTGTCGCCACAATATGGCACCATTTTGAATAATTTAAGAATTAAGGGAAAAAAAAATTAAAGAGGGTCCAATAGTCCTGAGCAAGTTCTTCATCAATGAAGCCTGTGTCACTATCCCTCCTCCACCAATTTGTCACCATCTACACTGGACCCAACCAACATTGAAGTCACTGATCCTCAAGCACTATCTTTGCTGCTGGAAGATAGTAAAAACTGCTGATGCTGGAGTCAGAGATAACACAGTGTGGAGCTGGAGGAACTCAGGAGGCCAGGCAGCATCAGAGGAACAGGAAAGCTGATGTTTCAGGTCAACTTTTTCTGAAGCAGTGTCCCAACCCGAAAGGTCAGCTCTCCTGCTCCTCTGGTGCAGCCTGGCCTGCTGTGTTCCTCCAGCTCCACACTGTGTTATCTTTGCCGCTGGGCTGGTTCATGTCTGCCACCGCATTGCAGCCATCTACACTGGACCAACCAACATCGGAGTTGCATCTCTTGCTGCTGGGCCCAACTCATCGATGTTACTGTGATGACCTCCTGGGACCCGCTTCACCACCACCAAAGCCAGAGCCAACCAACAACGATGTCGCTGATCCTCAGGCGCCATCTTTTGTCACCGGACCTACCTCGCCAACGTTTCCTCTGCCAGTGTAGCAGCTGCCGATTCTAGGTCCTGTGCTTGCTCCAGAGGGGCTCACTCTCCTCCGCATTGGTCCCACTTGACGTCCATGCCCTGGGTCAGCTCAAGGTGTGCTCGCAGGGCTCTCATCACTGCCAATGCTGTCCAAACTCAGGGCAAGGTTAAAAATGAAAAGGGAAGAAAAAGTGAGAGAAGAAAAATCAGTCAGAGTGCAAGAGCCCTACTCCACTGCTACCTTAATCTGATTTGATTTATTATTGTCACATGTACCAAGATACAGTGAGAAGTGTTGTTTTGCATGCTATATGGGCAAATCGTACTGTACAGAGTGCGTAAGGGTAGCAGAACAGTGTTACAGCTGTAGAGAAGGTGCACAGAGAGAGAGAGAGATCAACATTAACATTTGAGAGGTCTGTTCAAAAGTCTGATAACAGCAGGGAGGAAGCTGTTCTTGAGGAAAGTGTAGCTAAAACAGAAGGCAAATTTAAGATTGAGATTAGGCAGATTTTCACACTTTGAAGGGAATGGAAGCAAAACTTCCATGAATTTATTCAAGCAGCCATCACTGAACAGAGATAACAAGGTGTAGAGCTGGATGACCACAGCAGGCCAAGCAGCATCAGAAGAGCAGGAAAGCTGACGTTTCGGGCCTAGACCCTTCTTCAGAAATCTGAAACGTCAGCTTTCCTGCTCCTCTGATCCTGCTTGGCCTGCTGTGTTCATCCAGCTCTACACCTTGTTATCTCAGATTCTCCAGCATCTGCAGTTCCTACAATCTCTGAACAGACATCTCTTGCTGCTGCATGATGTACTGATTCACATACCTTCCCTATCTTGTGATCTGACCAGCAGCAAAATGCAGGAAAATAATCATTATTAGTCAAGACATGACTTTGTGCATCTTTATTGAGTTCCGATGAAGACTCACAAGATTTGAAACATTAACTCTGCTTTCTCCCCACAGATGTTGCCAGACCTGTTGAGTTTCACAAGTAATTTGTGGTTTTGTTTCAAATCTTCAACATCCACAGTTCTTTATAGTGTGTTAGAATCCCTACAGTGTGGAAAGAGGCCATTTAGCCCATCGAGTCTGCACAGACCCTCTGAAGACCATCCCTCCCACTCTGAGTCCCTCAACCTAAATCCATTAACCTCACATTTCCCATGGCTATCCCACCTAGCATGCATATCCCTGGACACTATGGACAATTTAGCATGACCACTCCACCCAACCTTCACATTTTTGGACTGTGGGAAGAAACTGGAGCACCCAGAAGAAACCCACACAGAAATGGGGAGAATGTGCAAACTTCACACTGACAAGCCTGAGGCTGGAATTGAACCCAGGTCCCTGATGCCGTGAGGCAGCAGTGCTAACTACTGAGCCACCATGACACCTTGCAATCTGTGGTCTTTTGTTTTACTCAGGTTTAAAGTGAACTTTGGAATTATTTATTAACTAGACTGCGATAAAAAGCTTGGAAAATTCTTGATTTGCACAGTTCGACATCCGAGCGTGATGCTCATACACCGAGCATCAGATTGAGTGGGAGTTACTTCGGAGTTACTGCTACAAAACTCAAATTATTGGCTTTCTACAAGTGGAAAGATAAGAGAAAGAGGCATGAATAAATTCAACTAACATTCTGGTCTCCTTACCCATTCAACAGGATCTAAAGAATTTCAAATCATTGCCACTAATTAGCCATTGTCGTTTATGAGATCTCGGAATGATGCAGCACACAAGGAGCTATACAGGGCCCTGTACTTTTCTCTTAAGATGGTGAAGGCAGATTAAGCAGTGTCCAGGCTCCTGTGCCCAGGGCTCATCCATTCCACCTGCTTTTCTTTTGTCCCCCTCTTCTTTTATACGGCTTTTCCGTTTCTTTTTTCTTTATAGGCAACATGAATTCAAGGTCCAGAGCGTGGCAATGGCAGGTGAGCCCAGAGCAGCACCACAGATTCCCCACAGTGTGGAAACAGGCTATTCAGCCCATCGAGTCCACACTGACCTGCTGAAGAGCATCCCACCCAGACCCATTCCCCCTACCCTAGTGCTGCATTTCCCATGGCTAACACAGCTTACCAACTCACCCCTGGACACTATGGGACAATTTAGCACAGCCGATCCACCTAACGTGCACATCTTTGGACCATGGGAGGAAACTGGAGCACCCAGCAGACACGGGGAGAACGTGCAAACTCCACACAGACGGTTGCCCGAGGCTGGAATCGAACCCGGTGCTGTGAGACAGCAGTGCTAATGTCTGAGCCACAGTGCCACCCCTCTGGAGGAGGGCAGTGAGATGGTTGGAAACCCAGAGCAGGACCCTGGCAGCGGTGTCGAGGAGGCTGGTGACCCAGAGCAGGACTCTCGCAGACTGCATCAAGGAGGCTGATGAGCCCGGAGTGGGATCGTGGAATTGGCGTCGAATTGGCAGCTGTCAGGGAGGTGAGTATGGGGACGCGGTATCAGCAGCTACATTGGCAAAGGCTGGTGGTGGTTTGGGTGTTGAAGTGGTTTTGGCCAGGCATCTGGCAGCCCAGGAATCCTTTGGGCGGATTTTGTGACATCTTTCTTCCCGGATTGGCGATGAGATTGATCCTTGGGGCAGTTACATTGGTGACTTCCAGCCTGGTATTCGAGCGGTCTGGCATGGTGTTCTTGCAGTATGGTAGACTGCAGTACACTGCAATACAGACAGTACTGACATTTCCCAAACTAAGATCGACTTTGTCTTAATATTTTTTAAAAAATTCTTATCATGCTTTCTCTTATTAATATAGGCACCATGGTGTGGCTACTTAAACACTTTTCACTGACAGCTTTTTGTAAAATATACAAGTGACAATAAATGACTATTCTATTCGACTCTCAGTTATCTAATTAATCTAAATTAAGGTGTAACTGGGAGGAAGATGGATAAAGTCATTCTCCACTTTTGCACAAGCCATCACAAGGTGTATAAAATCCCAATTAAACCACTAAGATGATCAATGAGGAAGGGTCACTGGACTTAAACGTCGACTCTGCTTTCGATCCAGAGATGCTGCCAGACCTGCAACTTCCATTTTTGCTTCAGATTTCCATCATCTGCAGTTGCTTGTTTTATTTTTGGTCAAATTGCCTGACTGCAGGTTTTGTGGTTAACAAAAAATGAACTACTTATTGGAACAGACAAATTTAACAAATGGCAGAACAAAGAAAGCCAGGTCTACTGCTGTGTATCTTAAGTTATACTCCTTCAAGACATACATTCAAGTGTTCTGGTAGCACAGCAGTGGATCCCTAGCTGTGAGCCAAAAATGCTCCAGGCTCAAGTCCCACTTGCCTCTGAGGTGTTTTATAACATGTCCAAAAACTTTTGATTAAATTAACTGCACATGCTCATTCATGATTAAGACAGCAGGGTTGACACAGATGGAAAAAGAATGCAGATGGTGTGTGCAAAATTCCAAAGACTGAAACTCCACGTTTCAAGGCTGGCTTAGATTGACTCACACAGATCCTTCTGATTATTAGCGCTGCTGTCTGTAAATTGCCAATCATCCTTCACTTTGATAGTTGATCCGGTGGACCTAGGTTGTTTCTTGTTACAATTCTTTCAAGTTTTCTTGGTTTGTCTGTCATTTACCCTCCACACCTGGGAGAGATGGATGCTTTTCAGTTTCCAGGGCTCTGAAAGCTTTTTGCTGCCCTTTCAGTTACAGCTTTGGAACAAATTGCATTTCAAAAAACTGTGGGCCCTCAATATCTCTTCCATTTCTTCTTTCTCCCTTTTGTCAAAAGCAGAAAAAAAACCTTTTATCCAGCCCCTTTCTGTTCTGAATGGACTCGAAACGTTAACTCTGTTTCTCTCTCCACAGACTCTGTCAGACCTGTTGAGTTTCTCCAGCACTGTTTGCTTTTATTGCAGATTCTTAGCACCCACAGTATTTTGCTTTAAATTGAGGTGCAGCTAAGAGTTAGAGTTAGGAAAATCCCTGGGAACTGTTTAGAGCTGTGGGGATTTCCCTGCCGCTCATCACTGTGTAGACTCCACCTGCCTCTAACCTCTTCTGCCAGGATCTGCAGGACCTGTTTGAGTTGATGTGTTTGAGGAAAAAGCACCTGGTAATCTAACCAGAACAAGTCTTATACAAGATGAAGTTTATTGCATGACAACAGCTTGGTACAATTTACAGTAGTATGACAGACATTGCTATGAAAATAATGAAGGAAACATTAATAATTAGGCCCCTCTCCTTTGTTGTCCAAACCTGTTCCCCTTGCCTATTTCCATAAGACATCTTTCTATTGGATAGTGCTTAATGTACCCCTCACCATTAACCTTTTTAGACCCTTCATGCAATTGGAAGAACTTCCGGGAACCACTGGTGGTTCAGTGCAATTGAGTCTGGGGTGAAGGAACCCCATATGCAATATTCACTAAGAAATATTGGAACTCAGAGAATTCTAGGGACAGTATCAGCTTAGTAAAGCACGCTGAATGTAAAAGTGCTGGCATTGTGCCCAGAGTAGGAATTCAGGGAGTACAGTCCTGGGAGCTGCGAGAAAGTGAGCAGTCAGTGAGGCATGCTGGAGTAGCTTTAGAGGAAGTTTCAAAGCTAGATCTTTGAAAGTGAAGAAGTGGAATCCCTTGTATGGGAGACAAAGTTTTGACAGATTTGCTCACCAAGAATGTCCCTTTTGTTTGTTTGGGCTGCCGAGGAGTCAGTAGAATCTGGCTCTGCACCATCTCCTGTTTGGTGGTGGCCTCTGTGGGGTGGCCAGCTACAGTAAGTGCTGGATGTTAGACTATAAGTTGCATGCATATTGTAGACTATTTTCCTGTTCTAGTTTTGTTTAGTAAAGTTTATTTTATTTGTTTGAAATTGTGGAGTATTGGGGCTTTGTTCTCCTTGTCAGTCCCTCTGTCTACTTTAAATCAACATGTTACTAGTCCTTAGCCAGACTGTAATATACATTTGGCAATCTCACAGGGACCATAACAAAATTAACCATATAAGAAGGGAATGGGCCATATAAAGACTTGAGGCTGCTCTGCCATTCAGTAAGATTAGGCCGTCCTTCAACCTGGACGTCAATTTCTTGCCTGATTCCCACCTCTGTTTGGATTTCAAGAATGTACAGGTCTCAGTTTTGGATATACTCAATAACCAACCTTTTGGGATAAAGAATTCCAAGAATTCAGAACCCTCAAAGAGAAAACAAAGCCAATCCGGCCTAAATGGCCAACCCCTTATCCTAAGGTTTTGTTCCCTGGTTCCAGACTCTTCAGCCTGGAGTAACAGCCTCTTAGCAAATAGTATTTAACACTGAGTCGCTTATGGAGATGTTAAAACAGGTGACCGAGAGCTTGCCCAAAGGAATACATTTGAAATAGAGTCTTAAAGGAAGAGGAGGGATTTTGCTGCATTGGAGGCAGTTCAGAGGAGGTTCACCAGATTGGTCCCAGAGATGAGAGATTTGTCTAATAAGACCATAAGACCATAAGACATAGGAGCAGAAATTAGGCCATTCAGCCCATCAAGTCTGCTGCACCATTCAATCATGGCTGGTAAGTTCCTCAACCCCATTCTCCCGCTTTCTCCCCATAACCCTTGATCCCCTTGATAATCAAGAACCTATCTATCTCAGTCTTAAATGTACTCAATGTCCTGGCCTCCACAGCCTTCTGTGGCAGTGAATTCCATAGATTAACCATTCTCTGGCTGAAGAAGTTTCTCCTTTTCACCATTCAAACAGGTCTTCCCTTTACTCTAAGGCTGTGCCCTCGGGTCCTAGTCTCTCCTACCAATGGAAGCATCTTCCCAACATCCACTGTGTTCAGGCCATTCAGTATTCTGAAAGTGTCAATTAGATTCCCCCTCATCTGTCTAAATTCCGATGAGTATAGTCCCAGAGTCCTCAAACGTTCCTCATACGTTAAGTTTTCCATTGCTGGGACCATTATGAAGGGAAATTGAGCAATTTATACTCTCTGGAGTTTAGAAGAATGAGGAGATCTAATTGAGGTATATAAGATGCTAAAGGGTATTGACAAAGTAGTTGTAGAGAGGACATTTCCTCATGTGGGGCAATCTAGAATGAATGTTTTAGTTTTAGGCTAAGGGATGGCAGATTTAAAACAGAGTCGAGGAGAAATTGCTTTTCTCGAAGGGCCGCGAATCTGTGGAATTCACTACCCAAAAGTGTGGAAGATGCTGGGACATTGAGTAAATTTAAGGAGGAGATACACAGATTTTTAATTAGTAATGAGTTGAAAGGTTGTGGACAGCGGGCAGGAAAGTGGAGTTGAGACCGAGATGTGATCATAATCATATCGAATGGTGGAGCATCCTAGAGGGGCTGAATGACCAACTCCTGCTCTTTGTTTTTTCGTTACTATGAGAGACAAGTAGATGGGAGAAGATGTTCAGAAAAAGAATTCCAGAGCTTAGAGCTGATGGAACTAAAGGCAAGACCACAATCGTGGAATGATAAGAATATGGAATTTTAAACCATCTCACCAACTAATGACAATATGACATTCTGATTTTACCCAGTTCATGAACTTGCACCTGTGGACCACCGTCCTATCACACTGGGGTACAGCATTTACATTAAAATCCTTACTGGAATTGCAGAGAAGAATCAAATCCTGGCATTTGATCAGCAAAGACTTGGCTTTATTTGTTCTCTTATTGCAATATGGTCAGTAACATTCACTCAGAAACTTTTTTTTTGTAATAATACATGATTTTTGTAGAAATGAGCCATAAAGCACTGCAATACATTGGTATTTTAGCAGCACCTATAATCCAATGGTTTGAAGCAAGAATTATTACAAAAGAAAATTTCAGTCTGCACTCTATAATTGTAGCCTATGTGTAAATCCCTGAGAAGCATGAATGTGAACTGCATTCGCACAGGGAGTTATTTTAATTAATTGTCGAATTAATTTACTCCAAGCTTTATGCAATGATTCCTGGCAGGGAATGCTCTAAAATACACAAACAGCATCATTATCAGCAATATGGCAATACTAATGCTAATGTAAGCACATTTCCTCAGTAATATTCTGACCCATTGGTCCAATATTTAGAAGAACAACCTTTATCTTCTTCAGACTGCTACATTTGTGCTGTAAAGGTTTCCCAAGTACTGCAAAGTACTTTCTTGGTGCGTGTCCGTCAGTCCTTGGGAATGGCATTGCTTCTAACTCAGAGAGTTTGAAGTTCCAGATCCTCCTTCAGAGTCACTTTGTGCCATTCTCTTCTGACCAAGAGAGTCACAAACACCTGGAAGTCTGCCAAAGTTGCTAATCAACTGCAAGCTAGTTGATCTCAGCATCTACAGGATTTGGACTGTGTGGCCTAAACAGGCCAGCTCCATGTATACAACAGAATAATACAAAGTGCGTTACATGGTGGAGTGCACCATTTGACCTAACAGTGAGCAAGGGCGTAGGAAATTTGTTAATATTGATGAAGTGCATCAATCGTGTCAGATTGCACAACTGCACTTCTTTGGATCTGCCGTTAGATATCCACAAATTGGACGTGACACCCTGAAACAAATGCTGGATTCAAAGCTTTGAAATATATTTAAGATAAATCAATAACAACCAAATTTGTGTTCCTCTGCTTTTTTCAGACTGTTATCTGTCAATAGTTACTGCCGATGATGTTCAATTTAATGGTTGCTTGGAAACCATTGTGGTTTAGGAGCTGTGGACATGATCAACCACTGACTCCCAGTTCATTCAGAGTTTGGGAGGGGGGGGGGCTTCGGTTGTAATTGAATTGTCAACGGTCTGTCAGATACTTGTACACTGCCAAGGATGTTTCCTTAAATAGTTGGCAGGAGACTGGAATTTCCCTGCAGCAACTGATGTCCCATGTTAACAGTGATATCTTGTTGTCCACTGGCTCTTCCTCATGCTGCAGAATGTCATCTTCAGCCCTGCTTTTCTCTTCTAAATTCATCAAGGCTCTATGTTTGCTTTGAAACAGTTAATTGTATCACAAGTCCAATGGCCAGGATCAGGGGTCCTGAAAGGAAGGCTAGCCCACGGCGAATGATCAGTTGTTTTGTGGACAAGATTTCTCCGACTGTGGTAACTCCAATTTCTAGTGCAGAGGTATCTTCTCTCAGTTGTTCTGTGTCTGTGCTAATCTCCGCTTGGCTGAGATTGGTCAACACAATGATAGTGTGGCCCTGTGTACATTGACCTGCAAAGGAAAATCACATTGGGAGACACTGTCAAATAAAGTTATTGTTTAAGTTATTGGAGATACCAAGCCTGAGATTGGCTGATGCGTTATAAGTTATAGGCAAATTTCATTCATATAATGTTATGACCAGTGAAAATGGAGACTGCTTTCTACTACCCCTCTCCAAAGATGCATAAAACCAGTATTGTTGCTCATTCTGATGTATGTATTGCTACGCTAACGACAATGGTCCAATGATCAATCACTGATTGGGGATTGATAAAGTCCATGGGTTCATTTATTTAGAATAATAAAACACTGTATAATTTATGAAGCAGACATTATGTGTGCAGTTTGCAGACCCACAGTAGATTAACTGTCAGGCAGAGTCGCAACACTGTATGCAAAAATCACATGCGGTCCTGAAAGGTGAATGTTCTTGAAGGTAAGGGACAAAGCAACAGATGTGTGCAGCAAAAGACGAACTTGCTCTGAAAGACAGAAAACATCATATGGTCTAACCCACCTGGCCACTTATTGGCAACGTTAGAATCAGGCTGGTATAGAACAAGCAGCCCATCAGATCTGATCAGATCAGTGTACCATTGAGAAGTTTTGGTTAAAATTACTTCTTAAGTACACCCGTACACATATGCTTCTGATGTGTTGGCTCTCTGCATCTGTGTACCAACTCTGAATTGCACCCCTTTTTCAGTGAATTGTGGAACACTGGCAGACCATCACCATGCCCAAACTATTTGTTATCCCAGCCAGCTGGGCCATCAATGAAACCACAATGGGCCAGCAGCCACATTATTGATGGATTTAACCATCTATCAAAACACATTCATCCAAGACACTCCCTTTGTGATTGATGATTCCACTGATCTGCAGCAATGAGATGAGGACAGCTTTAGCATTCAGTTGGGCTGGTTCCTATGCTACAATTTTGCCAAGACCTGCATACAGGATCGCGCAACTGTAATCACCTTCAGTGCAAGTCGAGTTTCCATATTGAAAATTCTAAAAATCTGGAAGCTAGAGCCACCCCTAAACTAGTCACGTCCCCAAGTCATGGTCATGGCAAGTTTTCACTTGCTTGCAGGTCCTTGAGAAAGCGCTACACTCATCAAGGTCAACAGCACATGGTAAAAGGCCATTCAGCCTATCGAGTCTGTGCCAGTCAAAAACAGCCACCTAACTTTTCCTAATCCCATTTTCCAACACTTGTCCCATAGTCTTCACAGAATCTCTACAGTGCAGAAGCAGGCCATTCAGCCCATCCTGATCCTCCGAACAGCATTCCACCTGGACCCATTCTCCTACCCCTTCCTTGTACCCCTGCATTTTCCATGCTAATCCACTTAGCCTGCACATCCCTAGACACTTAGCATAGGCATTTTAGCGTGGCCAATCCTCCTAACCTCCACATCTTTGGACTGTGGGAGGAAACAGGAGAGCACCCAGAGGAAACCCATGCAGACACAGGGAGAATGTGAAAACTCCACATAGACAGTCACTCAAGGGTAGAATTGAACCCAGGTCCCTAGCACTGTGAAGCAGCAATGCTAACTGTTGAACTAATGTTCTGAGCGTTTCTGCCTCTCCCATCCTTACAGGCAGTGAGTTTCATATTCCCATTACCCTCTGGGTGAAAAAGTTTTTTTTTCTCACATCTCCTCTAAACCTCCTGCCCCTTACCTTAAATCAATATCCCCTGGCTATTAATTCCTCCACTAAAAGAGAAGAGTATCTTCCTATCTATGCTTTTCATAATTTTGTACATTTTAATCAGATATTTGAAAGTATCTTTTTTCTAATTTACTAAAAGACTGGCTGACTACTGTATCACAATGTAAACAATGAATAGTTCTGCTCATCATGTCATTTTCAGTCATTCAAAATCAGGATACACATGGGTATTGAATTTATATAGTGATTTTTGTGATAATCCCATTTTTGGCTGAACTAATCAATCCACTATCAGTCTCAAGTATATCGTAAAATACTTTTAAAGCATTTTTTCTAATGTTATATTTTAAAATGCTGCTTGATTGCACAAGAGGTTTATAGGAGGTTTCGCATTTGGTGATAATAAAATGACTGTGAGTGGAGATTGAGGAAACAAGCCATTTCTCAAACCTAAAACAATTTTGGAAGCAACAGTTGTGCCCAAAGTGGAAACTCAATCCAAACATTTCTAGGACCCGGGAAGGATGGTCCACTTTTCCCTATTCTGCACACCCCAGCCCCAAACCTTAAAACACAGGGTGGCACAGTGGCTCAGTGGTTAGTGGTTAGCACTGCTGCCTCATAGTGCCAGGGACCTGGGTTCAATTCCACCCTCAGTTGACTGTCTGTGTGGAGTTTGCACATTCCCCTTGGGTTTGCTCTGGTTTCCTCCCACAGTCCAAAGATATGCAGGCTAGGTGGATTGGCCAGGCTAAATTGCCCCTAATGTTCAGGGATGTGTAGGTTAGGTTACAGGGGGATGGGTCTGGAATGAGATGCTCTGAGGGTCAGTGTAGACTCATTGGGCTGAAGGGCCTGTTTCCACACTGTAGGGATTCTGAACCTTCCCCCTTCCCAACAAAATTAACAGTTTCTAACTGGCCAACACAGTTTAAAAGAAAGTTGTGAAAACAGCAAAAAGTTGTATAGTGTGGAAGCTTTTTTTTGTGAATAACTGGGAAATCAATTAAATTCTTGATACCTGTTGAAAGATCCTCAGTCTGGGGATTAGATGGAGTGCAAGGGGTGTCCATGTTTATCTTCACACCTGCATTAACCATCGCCTTCAAAGAGAATACAAAACCTCTGTTAGAAGGAGAAACTGTTTCTGTACAATGTACAGCTGCGTCTGCACAATTTTAAAATTGCCCTTAGTATTACCTACCCAGTCAGCTGACAAGTATTTTATTTTGCCTGTACAAGAGGTGGCAACGGAAGACTTCGAAATTTCAAAACTAAGACTTTTGAGCTTTTTTTTAGGCAAGGTAATAAGGGCTGTGGAACCAAAGTATGTGGATTCAGGTGAGTCACAGTCCATATGAATGACGGAACAGGTTTGAAGGGGCTGAAGTGTCTCCCCTTCTTTCTATGCTCATTAATTGGCTGCAGAGAGTCCCTAGAGGCCACAGCCCACAACTTCATTGTGACAATTGACAACACACTGATTTGTAAATGTCAACAATATTGGTGAGAGAAACTGACGAGATAAGATACTGCTGACTATTATGCGTCAGATCAGTTCTCCTTGTATATTCTGTCCAGTTTAGACATTTATAGTTTCTAGACATCGTACTCCAGTGCTCTAGGTTATGGGAGATTTATCCACATTCATTTCAATTGGTGCTGACTGTTTAGACCAATACCATCATTTTATTAACAGTTTCATCCAACACCATTTTTTCTGAGTTGGCTCGGCGTAGCAGTGTAACTAGGGAGGCGATGGCCTAGTGGTATTATCACTGGACTTTAAACTAGAGACCCAGGAACATTCCAGAAACCCGGATTCAAATCCCATCAAGGCAGATGGTGGAATTTGAATTCAATAACAGGAATATCCGGAATAACGAGCCTAGTGATGACCATGAATCCATTGCCGATTGTCAGTGAAAAACCCAGCTGGTTCACTAATGTCCTTTAGGGAAGGAAACTGCCATCCTTACCTGGTCTGGCCTACATGTGACTCCAGACCTACAACAATGCAGTTGACTCTTAACTGCCCTCTGGGAAATTAGGGATGGGCAATAAATGCTGCCTGGCTAGTAATGCCCTCATTTCGTGAATGAATAGCAAAAAAAACACGAATGGAAATTTGGCGCATGGCTGGGGACTTCCTAGTTGTTCAATCTCCCAGTTTGACAGGTGTTAGGTATCACAGTGGACTATGTAATGAGACTACAGAAAGCCGGGAAGAGGTTTACAAGCAGCTTAAAATCTGGTGTGGTGATTAATTTCTGGGAGCTCCACTCACCTGATCGGATGCTTTGTTCCAGTTCATTCTTGAAATCACAATTAAAAAGAAAACAGTTTGCACAACGACACAAATGAACAGTCCAGACCAGAGACCTGCAAAATCATAATGGAGCGATGAGTAGATAGCCCATTCTGTTGTTAATTTTCTATCTATTACTGGGCAACACACTTTAGGAAGGATATCTTGACCTTGGAGGGAGTACAACATAGGTTTACAGAATGATACCTGGACTTCAGGGGTTAATTTATGAGGAGAGATTATGCAAATGAGGCCTGTTTTCTCTAGGATTTAGACAGTTAAGGGGTGATCTGATGAATGTTTTCGGGAAAAGATAGGGTAGATACACATAAACTGCTTCCACTGATTGGGGATTCTAGAATGAGGGTTATAGTCTGAGAATTAGGGCCAGACCCGTTCAGGAGAGATGTCAGGAAGCACTTGTACACACAGAGGGTGGTAGAGGTTTGGAACTCTCTTCCACAAATGGCAGTGGATACGGATCAGTTGTTAACTTAAGTCTGAAACAGATAATTTTTTGTTAAGCAAAGGTATTAAGGATATGGACCAAGGCCACAGATCAGCCATGATCCCATTAAATAGTGGAACAGGCTCGAGGGGTTGAATGGCCTAATCCTGTTCTCCAGATTCTTTGTAAATGACAGCCACATTGTCAGTGCTTGCTGGGAGTCCGCAAGACATTAATACCACTCGTCTCCATTAACAATAATTAAGACTAGTTGAGGTCAATGATATTAACACCTCCCTATCACCGACAAGGCACACATTGAACCTGTGATGAGGATTGCAACACTCAAGAAGCTCAACGCCTTCACTTGTTTGGCACCACTTTCATTATTGCGCCTCTCCACCACCAAGGCACAGTGGCAGCAGTGTGTACCATGTGCAACATTCAGTAACTCAATGAGGCTCCTTCAACAGCACTTTCCAAACAGCTCTGGCACCTAGAAAGACAAGAACTGGAAGTCTACGGGAACACAACCCCTCTCGCTGACACAGCATCATCCTGACATCGGTTATTTGTCAATACCATTGTCAATATCTCACAATTCCTTTCCAAATAACATTGTAAGAGCACGTACAGACAACAATGGTTTAATCATGGAATTATAGAATCTCTACAGTGTGGAAGTAGGCCATTCAGCCCATCGAGCCCACACTGACTCTACACAGAGCATCCCACACATCCCACCCTGCTACACTATCCCAGTAACCCTGCATTCTCCATGGCTAAACCACCTAGGTTGCACACCACTGGATACCATGGGCAATTCAGCATGACCGATCCACCTAACCTGGACTGTGGGAAGAAACCGGAGCACCTGGAAGAAACCCATGGACTTCCACAGAGAATGGCCAAACTCCTCACAGACAGTCACCCAAGGGTGGGATCAAACCTGGGTCCCTGCTGCTGTGAGGAAGCACTGCTAACCACTCAGCCACCATGCCAGCCCTAGAGAAGGAGATCCACCATCATCCTCTCACAGGCAGTGTCCCACTTGATCATCTCAAGAGAATATTTGTTGTTTAGAAATGGCAAAAACATAGCAAACATCCTCCATTTCTCTGATGGTTTCAGCTGTGAAGACAGAAACCATTCAAGCGCTTGCAAAGTATCAATGGTCTTTCCATTGAGAAAGGCACTTGATGTTAGCAAAGCTGTCAGGTAGTGTTGGGTAAAGACCGGAGAAAATATAAGTCACAAGCCAAACTCACATCACTGGCTAGCCCAAAGCCAAGCTCAAGGAGAGCAAGGAACAAGACTGATTGCCCACTCATACATCAGGTTTATAGCATATTGGGACAGAGAGACTCAGCAGAATCAAAAATGATAGCGGGAAAACATCTAAACATTCTTGGGATAAGTTCCTACCTAGGATACCAAGATGTGCAGCAAACATCAGTGTGACGCCAAGGGGAAACCCAATTGAGTAGAAACCCACCAGGTTTCCAATCGCTCCCAGTTTTTGCTTCCCAAGTCCTCTTAACACCCCGCCGCTTACAGTCTGTGGGAGAGACAACATTTATCTTAACATTATTCTGATGAAGGCACATTAAGAGAAACACAATGCTTTTACAACTGCTCTCTGAAAGTGTGGTGGTACTGCTGGTTAAGGTCAGGCAATGTGGTTATTTACCCTTAAGAAAACAAGACTTGCATTTCTAAAGCACCTTAACCACACAGTATTGTGTGTGTTCCTTCAAGGCTGAAATGGTCTGGCATGAAGGAGCATAGTCACCTTTCTGGTCTAACAACGGAGTCAGGCTGATTAAACAATGATGTTTATCTACAACTGTCTACTGGATACATGACTATGCTCTATATTACTAGGCAGGCTGGTTGGAATACACTAGCCTTTAGACTGTCTCCTACAAGCCCATTCTTTACTCTAACCAAGTCCCTTAGTTTATACTGACATTATCACAGTGGGTGATGCTTACAATACTCAAACAAGTATCTCCCCTTTCAGACTTTACACATGACTGTACAGCCAGTGAAATACTACTACAATTTATAGCTCCTGTTGCAATTTGGGAACGGTGACAGCTAATTCACACACAGCAATGCCCCACAAACAGTAATATCCAAATGTCCAGATAATTTGTTTTTTGCTGCCGTTTAAGGGATAAATATTGGCCAGGACATTGGTGCCAACTTGTTTGATAGTCATCAAGGTCATGTCTGTAGTGATCGTAATGAGGTTAGCCAAGTGAGCCTCGTAGAATATAAGCTCGCTGATTGGGGCTGTTAATCTGGTCCAATCAGGGAGCCCTGGCTGACAGATATAAACAGGAGTGTCAGAGGTTCTGCTCACTCTGAGAGCTGGCTCTGAGGGAGTTGGATCAGTGTCAAGGACTCTCCATGTGTAAATAAAGGGTGACTTAGTGTCAGGATACAGGCCTCAGTGGAGTTATTTTGGTGGCCTTGCCTCGGAGGTACCTTGGTTTAATGATGGCACCCTCTGACAGTACAGCACACTCTCAGCATTGAATTGGAGCCAAGATCTTTAGGCTCATGTCTCACGAGTAGAACTTGAGGTCAACAACCTTCTGACGAAGGTTCAAAAGGCTACTCACTGAAAAACAACTGAGCCATTGCAGGTAGCAATGACATATCTACCTGGGAATGACTGAGAGAGCCTGGGTCAGCATAGAAGGAGCCACAGAGCTCTCCCTTGTGGCTATTATCCAGGCTGAGGGCCACAGTATGCAAGACAGTGAGTATGTCAGATTTAACCTCGAGCATGCCTGAAACAACAACTTATATTTATAGGTATTTCGAATCAACCTGTTCAGACTTGTTATAAAGCATCTCTAAAGTAGGCTGGATTTGTATCTGTACCTCCTGGCTCAGAGGTAGGAATACTACCGCTGAACCATCATAGCCGCACAACTTAAATTTATATATTGCCTTTAATGTATCAAAGCATCCATAACATTTCACCAGCTTTTGTTAGACACAATTTGATACTGAGATACACAAGGCGATTTTTTTAAACAAATTGGATATCAAGGAGGATGTCCTAAAGGACCAAAGAGAGGAATAGAGGCAGTTTAGTTCAGGAAGGATTCCAGAGCCTGGAGTCCAGTGTAAATTCAATCCCAAGCCAGTTGGTAAAGTATGAAACTAGACATTAATATCTTTCTTGATAGTGTTATTTATTAAATGCAGTATTACAGTCTGCTTCCCAGTGATTCCTCACACCTAACCCAGGCTGTGTCCCAACATAAGAACTGATCTTTCTCTGCACCTTCTCTGTAACACTATATTCTACACTCTGTTCTGTTACAATGATGTACTTATGTAAGGAATGATTTGCCTGGATAGCATGCAAAACAGTACTTTTCACTGTATCTCTGTACACATGCCAATAATTAAATCAAATCCACTCAGCCGTCTCTCTAATAATTAATGAAGCAATTTCTTTAACCTGTGTACACGGACAATATAATTAGGCTGGGTTTATCATCAAAGACACCACTCAATGGCACAATGATGATGCATATGCAGAAACAGAGGTGCCACGTTGCAAACAGCATGTTACAAAGCAACAAACAGCATCAGTCAGGAACAAAGATGGCACTGCCCATATAATCACATTGCAGGTTGGTGCTGTATGGAACCGACACACCTGATCAGACAGCAGGGTAGACTGTAGCCCCACACCACCCCTACCCTACCTGTGCAAAGGAAGAGGCATAGGGACAACAATGGCAGCAATGCAACTCCAATCCTGGGGGTGTAATTAGTCAGCCCATGACTGCATTTTAGAGAGCAATATTATTACATGCTCTGAGATAACAAGGTGTAGAGCTGGATGAAAACATCTGATGCTGCTTGGCCTGCTGTGTTCATCTAGCTCTACACTTTGTTATCTCAGATTCTCCAGCATCTGCAGTTCCTACTATCTCTGAAACTTATTACACGTTCTGGCTGTTTCAAAGCTGTCTTTTTTCAAATTCATTTACAGGATGAGGATGTCCCTGGCTAGGCGGCATTTATTGCCCAGAGGGGATTTAAGAGTCAACCACATTGCTGTGGGTCTGGAATCACATGTAGGCCAGACCAGGTAAGGAAGGCAGATTTTCTTCCCAGCAGGGTATTAGTGAACCAAGTGGGTTTTTCCAAAAATCAATGAAAGATTCATGGTCATCATTGGACTCTTAATTCCAAATTTTTATTGAATTCAAATTCCTGCTGTAGCAGGTTTTGAACCTGGGTCCCCAGAACATTACCTTGGTCTCTGGATTAACAGTCCAGTGATAATACCACTGGGTCATCACCTCCACCACCCCCAATCTTGTCTTGCCCATTTCTTATCATCAGGAGGTCAACACTGTGTTGTAGCTAAGTGGATTTGTTCCTAGGCAGCAAACCTCTCCTTCCCCAAAAAGAACTTTAATACACTCCAAAGGTGCAGCCAAATCAGCTCTGATTAAATCGGAATTATCACAGCCCATGCGTAATGCATAGCCCCAGAAATGCTTCAATTTAACTTTGTGCAAGTGCGCAGGACATCAACAAGACATGCCCAGGCTTATTCTAGCTTTGGGATATCTGTTGCCAGTAAGTGATGCCACTAGGGCCTGTTTGTGCATGGTTGTTTAAGTGTTCAAAGTAGTTAGTTCAATATAATTAATATACCATTAACACTTAGGCAGTTGAAGGCACAGCTACCAGTGGAGTGGTAAAGGAAATCAATGATGTCCAGAAGGCCTGAATTGAAGGAGCAGATCTCTAAGGCTTACAGTGGGGGTGGCAGCAAGACCATGGAGAGATTGGAGTCAGAACCTTAAACTTGAGGGTGCTAGTGCAGATCACCAAGAACAGGACGATGAGTGAATGGGACTCGGTATGAGTTAGGACAATGGATGGAGGAGTTTTATAGGAACTGAAGGTTCTGGAGGGAGAAAGGTGAAACGCTGGCCTGGAAAGCCAAGTCCAGTGCAAAGAAAGGTATGGATGAAGGCTTCAACAGCAGTTGAGCTGGGGCAACAGCAATTGGAGAGAAAGATTGTTTCCTTTAAGGGATTAAAGGGGGAAAGATCTGTTTGTTCCACAGCTTTGTGCTAGCTTCCTGGGCTTCAGGATTTTGAAACTGCTTCGTTTCAATTGCAATTTATTTTAAGCATTCGCTGATGTAAACATCAATGCAGCGGGAAATTAACAAAAGAAATAGCCCCCGTGTTACCAGAGATCCAACTTTACTGCTTCCAAAATCTGGGCCTGATATCAGAGTTAGTGGCTGGATGTCTGACATCCATTTACAGGAATGGTGAAAGAATTTCCGTTTTGCTTTGGTCACTCTGTCTGAAAATAGCTCATCGCTTTGTTGGCAGCTTTGAAATGGAATGCTTTGTGCTCTGTCTCCTGGCTCCGAGGACTGGGCTGTTCCTTTGGATCAAGGGACTTGTTCAGACCTTGTGGATTCTGCCCTCCATTGCGTCTGGCACCTTTTAATAGGTGGAGACCGTGTACAAGAATCAATTGGTAACTAAAGACTTTGTTGAAAATACTCACAGCTATGGCTTCAAACCAATGGAAAGTAGCAATGATGGGGTCAACGCATGAAACTAACTGGATGATATCTCTGCAAAAGGGGGAGAGAGGTATCAGAGAGTATTTGATACATGGCTGAATTGATTATTAGTAAGTAGAAGGCTGAAGGGTTATTAAGCTCATTCAAACATTTAATTTGGTTTTACTAACTTGTCAGTGGTGAAGATGTAACCTAGCACACTTCTTGAAGCTCCCACAGTCAATGCAATCAGCAAGGAACAGCACCCTGTTGGAATGCGGTCAATAAATTATTATTTAATAAAGAAAGGATGAGCTTGTACTTACATAGTACCCTTCACAAGCTCACAACTACACAAAGCAATTTACAGCCAATTACATCTGCCTATCTTTTCTCTGTTTTGCAAGGGTTGGGTCATGGACTTCCATTGGGTTGGACCATGGTGATGGGCAACTTCTATAGGATAACTGACCCAGAGACTCCCCCACACTTAACACTTGCCATCAGGTATTGGGGGGGATTTACAGGCTGACCATCAACCTGTTTGGCCACGCTGTGAATGCCCCTCCCGTGAACAGCAAGCCCTGGTGTGCACCATACAAACTTAGAGCTACCTACTGAGCCACAAGACGTTCAGCCAGTTAAGTGCAATGCTGAATCACCGAAAGGCAATGCAACTTCTTTACTTCTCTTTTTGTATCTAATATTTGTATCTAGGTGCTTTGTACCTAAGATGGTGCATGACGGGCGATATTGTAAACTTTTCACTGTACTCCTGTACTTGAGTATACATGACAATAAAAACTAATTCTAACATGTGGCAATCAGTTTATAAATAGCTAGATTCCACGCACTGCAATGTGGCCAGATAGTCCATCTTAGTGTTGCTGCTTCTGGGGTATAAACTGGACAGGATGTATTTAAAGGTGATCTGCTTGACAGATCACATGGCATTCTCCCAAAAAAAGCTAGAACAGAAAAAGCTAGAAGCATGGCATCTGTCAAGGCCAATCAGGTTATGCCAGTTCCTAAGTTCTGATGGGGGTATCTGTCTATTCAGATGCTGACTGGCGTGTTGTTTAACCAATTATTTCAGATTTTGTGTATTTCCAACTTTTCCCTCACTATGAAAATCTTTGAAAATATATTCTGTTTTAAACTAAAAACTCAATTCTTTTTTTAAAAAAATTATTCTTTCCTAGAACACGAGCATCTCTCACAAGGCCAGAATTTATTGCTCATACTTAATCACTCTTGACCTGGGGGCTTGGGGTAAGCCATTTGTAAGGTGAGATGTGGTCACATGGAAGGCCCAAAGATCATGAAGACAGATCCTCTACTCCACTGGCATCAGATCATTGCAAACTTGAAGTGAAATTAAAAAAGGAAATACTTAATAGGAGTGAAGCCTGCGGTTTATATTGGGTTGAGGAATCCTTCGTCTGCTCCTCCTCCCATGAGGTCTCCTTCTCCCAAAGATACTTTTTTCTCTGAGACAGGGTCTGTTCACCTGCTCCATCTGCCTTCCCTTTACTATCGCCACCTACTGCTGGAGATCCCTTGCTCAGCACCCTTCCCCAACATCGCCACCTGCTGGTTAGAAACTCCAGTACACGATCAAGGGCAGCTGACAGCCATAAACATTGCTTTGGGTCTTGAGAAGCATGTAAGCCAGACCAGGTAGGAGCACATTAGTGAACCCGCTAGGTTTTTGCAACAATCAATCATGACTTCACTATTACTGAGACTAGCTTCTCAATTCCAGAATCACCCCTTGAACTCACACTCCACCGGTGGACGTGGTGGGATTTGAAGCCATGCCGCCAGTGCATTAGTCTGGATCACTAATCTAATGATATTGACTATGTCACCATCTCTCTGATGTGATGGTCAGTGTCTGTGGCTCCAATAATACTGGGAGACATATCCCCAAAGTGTATGAGATTGGAAAGCCTGAGACTATTCTGGGAGCTGACACAATGCTCCAACATGAATACCGAGGCGCTACTGTCACCAAACCACACACTAGAGTCAGTCCAAGTTCCTTGGATTGACATGTTAGCATAACTATGAATTTATAGCTGTGCCTCAAGTTTCAAAAGAAGCTGAACTCATAGTACACACAGCCGGTATCAGGTCGGGGAAATTAAATGCACCATCAATAACTGCACTGAGGATGGATTCGCCAGGCACAGATTGATTGGAACAAAAGTTAAAAATGTAAGTCGTCATCTGAATGGTTACTGTTTCAGTCAACAAGCTCATTACTAATTGTAGAAATGATGAACTCACCAACAAAACACAGGGAAACTGTAGCAGACGTTTTAGCTTTCTCTGGATTCTTTGCACCCAGTGCGTTACCCACACGTACACTTGCAGCCACACTACATCCCAGAGGGATCTGCAAAGCAAGATGCAACATCAACTCTTCCAAATATGATTATTGTTGTGTGCTATCTGAGTGTTAATGCTGTGAATGTAGTTTCTGGTTGCTAGTGTACTCAGCTGGAGGATGCTTTGTTCTGAGTTGTGTGGGTGCATCAGGGACAGTCTCCCCAGAATAATCCCTGATCTGGGCAGTGCAATGGAAGCTGACCTCAGTAAGAATGTGTGGGAAGGTGTTATGACTGGATTCATCAAAGAGAAGGCAATCTGGCGTTGTCCTTGCTCGCGCTCATTGTTCACTGGTCTACACAAAATTGTTATTGGCCCATTGTGCCCTCACTGGTTCTACCCCCTAGTGCCAATATCCTGCCTTTTCCCCATATTGTTGCACACCGTTTCCATCCAAATAATCATCCAAAACCTCTCTTGAGTGCTTCCACCGAACCTGCCTCCCCTACATTTCCAGGCAATGCATTCCATACCCTAACTGCTCAATGAGTGAAAAAGTTTTCTAAGGTCAGCCTGCTTCATTTGCACATCACTTTAAATCTGTGCCCTCTTGTTCTTTCATTTCTTTTACAAGCAAGTTGATATCCTAAAGGATAGGATTTATCCCAGTGAAAATTTGTCACTTTCATAGACACTTTCAATCCTATTCTGCATTTTACTTTCTTTGAACCAAATCCTAATTTTCAAAGTAGGGATTGGAAAAATGTTGGAACCAATACCAGATAAGTAGTCCACAAGAAGAGAACTAGATACCAGGCTCAGATGCAGCGATCACAGGTTAAGACTGTAGAAAGATGTGAAATTCGACAGAGAGTAGATCAAGCCAAATATAACATGAAAGTCATTTTTCAATTAATCTATCATGCACAGATTGAGCACTTTGACATTAAATAATACATTAACAAGTGAAAAGAAGAGAAAAAAGTATTATTTGTGCTTTAAAGCCTCGCATTTTTGTCGAGTTACAAGTAAGTTTGTTTTTAACTGCAGCTTGTTTCATGCGAGTAAATATCATGCTGAACAGAATCTTCAGCCTTACCATGTAAGCTGCTGTCAGCACTTGATAAATTACAGACTGTGCTCCGAGTTCAACTTGACTAATTAGGCCTATGAAGAACAGGAAAGACTGCAATCAAACTCTGCCACAGAGATGAAAATTTAGAGGAATAAAAAGTTAGATGATCAATGTTTCCCTTGATACAAGTGAGGAACAAGCTATTCTTGAAGAATCAGTGATGACTGAACAGGCTCAAGAGGCTGATGGTCTACTGTCCTGCTCCTGTATGTTCTTAGAAACTGCTCATTTCTCCTTAGGGCAAAGTAGCTCTGGCAAACACAGGAGGGAGCCAGCTTCCACTACTATGAATTTCTTTGGGGGCAGAGTGTTTGTAGTTTATCACCCTCTCTTTCTGTTTCCTTTCCTCACCGCATCTCCCACAGCCCCAACCCCATCTCCTACATCGCAGTTACAACTGAGACTGAGAGGTTTAAAAGGTAGTGAGGGTCTTGGATCAAGGTGGGGGGTGCAGGTAGATAGAGTTTGGATACAAAGCAGCTGGGATTTAAAGAGATTGCATCTCCCATTCCTTACACCAGCATATGTGATTACTAAACTCAGTAGAGTCAGGAATCAAGTCTCTTTTAGCAGAAGCCAGGGATGATTCTAAAGAACTTGAAGTAATATGACGTAGAAATGAGGAACTAGAAGCAGGAGTTGGCCATTGGTCCTTTTCAGCCTGCTATGACACTGGGTACTTTCTATCACTGTTCAGGCACAGAAATTTGATTCTCCATCTCAAACTGGGTCTTAATTCAAGTGTATAACTAATGAGTGTCTAGACGTAGTGGGTGGGATGACCCTACTCCTTGAGTTAAGGTATCCATAACCAAGGAGCAATGATGTTGGCTAAAAGGTTTTGAGTTGATTCAAAAGGGATACATTGGGTGGTCATGAACTTGATCTCACTGACTCTAAGATTGGTACAGGCAGAAACTCTCCTAAATAGTTGAATATGTACTTAGAGTATGTCAGGGCTGCAGGCCCAGAATAGAAAATGGGATTAAGCTGGATGGCTACTTGTTGGATTTGAGGGGTAGAATGGCCTCCTTCTGTGCTGTAAGTTTCTATGATCCTGTTTTGTCCACAGTGTCTCTTAGGTCATCTAGTTTGGCCAATCCACAGCTAAGGTCTTGGGCGCAGTAAATGAATTAGCCATCAGAAGTAAGCTAAAAGGGCTGGAGATGCAAGAGCCCGAACTTGTAAATTAACAGTGAGCTGTCAAATGTAAAGTTGCTGTAAACAACAGGAAATCAAATTGTTCCTATTTTATCTGACAAATTTGGATTCTTGGAAACATTAACGACGATACAGCAGAAAAACACAACAGCCACAGTTCAAACCCTCCTCCTTGTGAATCTGGTAGAAAGATACAATTGAAGCGAATTATTATCCTAGTGTGTTAATCTTATTTACGAGCTATCAGAATGTCTCCACTGTTGTTACAGCCCTTGCCACATTCAGTCTTATAGTTTCCAAATGCATAAGGTTTCTCTTTCAATGTTCCCTCTAATTTTTCCTTGCTGTGCCTGGTCTGTTTGTTCGATTAAATGGTGCCTTTAAGAATACCACATCTTAATATGTGCGTCTTAAAAAGTACATTGCTTTTTTATGGCTCTCTTACAACCCTGCACTGTTTTCCAAATTGCTCCACCCACATTTCTTAAAGTGCACGTTGCCTACAGTGTTTTGGTGCCACCTTGGGTAACTCCTCGCATGCTATTGCTTTTAAGTGTCTCCAAAATCCTAACACCTGGACAACTTTGAAGGATATAGATAGCCAATACATCAGGAAAGTGCTGGAGAATTTGCTTTGCCAAGATAGATTAAATTGAAATTGGATCACCCCAGGTTGGCATTCTTTTGAACCAGAGCCAGGTCCAAACGATGCCACCATAATCTCCACCTGGGACAGGGTAAGGAGGCATGTCACAACTCTACCCCAGCCGGAATTTTATTGTCTGATATGATCTGAAAGGCCTATTGGAATATGGAACAGATGATGGATATGTCAGCTAACAGCTAATTGTATTTGCAGGGAGTTCTTGTTTTGTAGTGGTAATGTCCCTCCCTCTGAGCCAGACGTCTAGGTTCAAAGTCCTAACTGCTCCAGAGGTGTGTAATAACATCTTTGAACAGATTGATTAGAATTTTTTTTTTTAGAAAATCGTCTTTGAATTTGTTATATAAATATGGGGATCGAGTAATCTATGGGGTATGAGTTTTATGAAGTGTGAGTAACTGAAAGGAAATAAAATATAGAAGTGGTGACTTTAATTCTGTTTAAATAGTTTTTTTTGGAGGATAACATTGGCTCTAGATGATGGTTGAATCAAAAAGTAAATCTTTGGGGTTTGATTACAAACTCCTGTTTTCTGATATAACAAGGTGTAGAGTTGGATGAACACAGCAGGCCAAGCAGCATCAGAGGAGCAGGAAAGCTGACGTTTCGAGTCGAGACCCTTCTTCATCCAGCTCTACACCTTGTTATCTCAGATTCTCCAGCATCGGCAGTTCCTACTATCTCTCTACTCCTGTTTTCTGATATTGAGTCATTTTGTCCAGTGGCGGAATGATGTTACGATATGGACCGGGTTTGTCAAGATATGGCCTTAGCACTTTCATCACCATACCAAGGCAAGATAGGAAGCAAAGTATTTTTGAAACTGGAGCCTGATTATTCAGATATGGATGAAGGTTTGGGCAGAATGTTAATTTTTGTGGATAAAGTTCATCAAAAAATGACCTATTGACTGCTTGTGAGGCATGGTCAGATTTTGACAAATATTGAAGTTAGTACTGAGTCAGTGCTATGACAGAATAGAATTCAGCAGATTATATGCAAGACTGCAGAAATTTCATGTGGAAATTCCCCAGTCTGCGCTGGCATTTAAGGTTGTTGGATGATGCCCATGTATCAGATTGAAGAGATCGCCAGCTTTGAAAGGATAAGCATGTACTGCAAGAACAAATGTCAGAAGCACAAAACAAAATTCTTAGAAAAGCTCTCCTTCCCAGCAACACTTGCAGCAATCAGCGATATGAGAGAAAATGGAGGGTACTACGTTAACAAGTTAGTGAGACCGTCCAGATACAGATCACAGGCGAAGGAGAATTGGAACAACAATGAAGACAGAGATGTTATTGATAATGTTGAAAAGTGAAGAGAATTTGGGAATTACAGTAACAGAATGTATGCAAGGAATCCTTGGGGTGTAGTCAATTGATGTTTCAAGTGTGATTCAAAGGAACATGAACTGTCCCAAACATTATAGTAAAGTATTCAAAACTACATATGCAATGGGGGATTTGGAGGAAGAAAATGAGATATAGATCAAAGAGAGGGTAGTGTATTGGTTACAAGAAATTTCTGTCTAGTGATGAATGTGACAGTGACAGAGTCTTTCAATTGTACATATTAGATGTGCATGGAATTGACTGGCTAAAATACGACCCACACTCTCTGAGGAATGAAGATCAGAATAAAGTTAAGGAATTTGAAAGTTCTATCAGTTTCAGATTTGGGTATGGTCACACATTAGAAATTTTGAGAAGAGCGGTTAATCCTTGTAAAATAGCACAGATGTTGGGTCCAGTGAAATATTCTTGTTATTGAGTAGACCATCAATGAAAAAAGCATAGATCAAACTGATTTTGCATTTGGAAAATGTCTGAATCTGTAATTTGCACAATTGGAATATTGTTGCTTTCCTTTAATGGGACATAACCTCTCCAATGAAGAAAGTAAATAAGTGTGATTGACATCAGAGAGTTGAAATTTAGAAGACAAAAAGTCAATTGTAAAAAAATTACATAGGCAATTTGCCCAACGATCTTCCAAAAGATTAAAGTTTTAGGTAAAGTATGCAAATATAAGATTTGAGATTATGATAAACCCGAAAAGTGACATAAGGCAAAAGGCCATAGTCCCAGAGGACAACAGGGCTGCTCTATCATCACACAGAGGTGACTGGTAGTAGGTTTAACCTGAGGGTCACCATGCCTTAGGCAAGAGGAGAGGTTGGGAGGGAGAATCCTACATGGTGACCTCAGTTGGTGCAGAAATTGAACAACTACTGTTAATGTCCCTCTGCATCGCAAACCAGCCATCCTGCTAACTGAGCTGACCAACTCCTGAAATATGAGATATGTGAGATTTGATAAAAAATATTGCAGGACACCCTGGGGCCTGCAGTAAGTTTGCCCTGAGCAAGAGATTTCAGCAAGATAGTGGCCATGGATTTAAAGATATGGGATAAAGAAAACAAAATTAATTTTACAAATTGTAAATATGTGAACCAAATGTTGTCAGTCAACAATAATAAGTAATAAAGGTAAAGAAATAATTGTGGATAAAGTAATGGAAAAGTGAACAGGGACTGGACTTGGGCCACTGGCAAAATTTCTCAATGATAATGGGAGGAGCTTGCTAATAATTAATTCAGAGATATGTGTGTGAATATGAACATAATAGTTAAGAACAATATTTCCTCTAACTTCCAGTTTCGGAAGTCAAGCACAGGCATAGGAACATAGAAACAGGAGAAGGCCATTCAGCCCCTCGAGCCTGTTCTGCCATTCAATGAGATCATGGCTGATCTGTGGCCTAACTCCATTTACCTGCCTTTGGCCATATCTTTTAATATCTTTGCTTAACAAAAACTTATTCATCTCAGAATTAAAACTAACAACTGATCCAACATATACTACCACTTGTGGAAGAGAGTTCCAAACATCTACCACCCTTTGTGTATAGAAGTGCGTCCTAACATTTCTCCTGAATAGCCTGGCCCTAATTCTCAGACTATGACCTAGTTCTAGAATCCCCACCCCATGGAAACAGCTTATCTTTATCTACGTTGTCTTTTCCTGTTAATATCTTCAAGACTTTGATGAGATCACCCCTCAACCTTCTAAATTCTAGAGAAAACAGGCCTACTTTGTATAATCTCTCCTCATAACTTAACCCCTGAAGTCCTGGTATTATTCTTGTAAACCCACGTCGTAATCCCTCCAAGGCCAATCTATCCTTCCTGAGGTGTGGTGCCCA